CTGATGGTTGGCTGTACTGGAAATAATATTATAATTATGATATAGACAGATAAGGGTCCAAATGTCTTCTGAGCTTCCCCTCGCGTTTTTCCTCTCTGCTGGGCTTAGTATACAGAACCTCCCATAATTTTGTTAAAAAAGACGCAAAAGATACGAATCCGCGTCTCGTCTTTTTGTAAGTTGGTTACCTTAACCTTCAACCTTTTAACCTTAAAGCATTGGACTCAGCTTGACGAGATCTATAAGTCTGACTTCTTGAATTTCAGAAAATTTGATTTTTTAATTCCAAAGTGCCTAAGGCCACTCATTATTGAGCGCCGCTCGCTATAATTATAACTAGAGGGGAACAGCTCCCATTAGAGTATTTTGCAAACTTCATGCTCATTTTCATTGAGAAAAAGTTCAAGAAATAGAATAAAAGTAAGTAGTGTATATATATTCATTGCTTTTTCTTGGACTATGATTGCGGGCTGCTTGGTGTCTGCTTATGTGCGAAAGAAGCCCTCCTCCTGGGCTTAGTATTTGTACTAGTGCCATCTACCATCGGCCCTGTTTTGAATGGTCTTACTCCCCTCCCAAGAACATGAGCGCCTACAGCCTTTTACACCTACACAACCTGATGAAGTATTAAGCATTTAGTATTAAGCACGTGGATTTCAACGAAATCAAAGGCGACCTATTCAAAATAACCCTCGATAGATGAGTGGATCTCTCATCGATACAATATATTTCACGCTGCTGATCTTTGTTCAGAAGAAAGGACAAATTGGCTTGCGGAAATCACGTCGACATGAATTTTTCATATTTTGTCAGGCAACTTTTCTTAATGGATGGATGCTTGGTCTGATGGTGACATGGCATTTCTCAGGTAATTTAATCTATTTACCCATCAGTATCAGAGGCAACTGAAAAAAATAGATAAAAAATATTCTATTTAGCGTCGCTTGGACTCACTAAGAATTATCACCAGTGCATAATTAATTGCGTATGGATTTTGTTCTCTTACCTAAATCCGTTACTACTGGTCGTTCTGAATAAGTAAGATACTGTTATTACGATGTTTTACCATTATAACTTTCACAAGTCAACTCGATAAGACTCGTTTATTTTTTTCAGGACGATTCGCACGAAAATACTCAATTTCGTTTCACCCAACCGAAAGCTTCATAAGTCATCAACGAACTCAATAACCCTCGTCAAAGTGTATTGAATCTAAAGACCATTGCAACAGAAATCTGAATATTTATGTTATACATCCTTTTCATGCGTATTTTTACCATTTTTTTGATCACAGTGATCTCGAACAGATATTTAACTTTCTGTGTTTAAATACTTCCACTTATGGTGCAAACACCATCACGTGTTCATGAGCCTCTCAAGGCTTCCTCCCAGAGTTTGATACAAGACCTAAGCTCCATGTATAGAACCATATCCCATATCCTTCTATTTTATGGCTCCACCCTAATTTCGCAACTTCTTTATTTCATTTTCAAAACCTACATACTATGGTTGGGTGTGTGCGAGATTTTTTTGATTTGTGGTTCACCTTTCTACATGAATAGTAAAGTTTGTTGAAGTTGGGAACAGTATTCTTTACAAAGGGTAAGAGCATTGTAAGGATCTCAAGTGAAGATTCTGTACTGAAGCACATTATGAAACATATGAGGTTATAAAAATTTCCTCTCCTGCAATTAAAAGGTTTGGAGAGAATGGCATACCTGACACCTTCATTTAAAGGCAAGATTCGGGATAAAATAGGTGTGGAAAAGCGTTCAGTTATGAAGCTATAGGTGGGAGGTGGTCTGTAAAAGAGAAGGAAAGCAAACGAAACCACCGATTACGCCCCGTACAGAGACCTCCCCTATTTCAGCCACATTCCACCTTGGGATAGAGAAGGGCGCGTTGGACGAGTTTCACGAACCTAACTCTACTTGCTCCAGTGCCAATGACATTGGGTCGCGATGGGACCGCTGCCTCAAATGCGCCCGCTTTTCAAGCAGCGCCACGTGGCAACCGACAGCGGAGGGTGGGGCTTGCGGACGAAGGTGTGAGTTGCGGGTCGGACGAGCTCCTTGCGCCTTTGTCGCGCACTTTCAAGCGGCAAAAGGGGCGCGACATCAACGCTTGTCCGCCTGTATACTAAACCTGGGGTGGAGCCACGCCTAATTCCGGAGCGTGCCTTTGAGATATTGACTAAAATGCGAGCTTTGATGTTTTTCCATGTGGGACCAACGCGATTTTGCGACCGCTTGTGTCATGGTATCCATAACCTCCGCAGTCTAAAAGGGTGCGTTTTTGGAAGCTCGAAAGTGTAAGCAGCTTGAAAAACTGAGTAGGTCAGTTTGTATGAGAGAAGCGCAAAACACAGACTTCTCCAATAAAGGCCCATTCTGCGACAGGAGTGGGTGGAATTGGAGATCTTGATGGTGAGTGTTCGATTGCTTTTTTTCTACTGTAATGCTTGAAAATTCTTACTACTTGACTAACGTATCGTTCAAAACATTTAGGCCAAAGCTTGAATTCCATTCGCAATTCTACTTCTTTCTTAAGGATTAGTCGAAATGGCCTGAAATGCGCGGGATATGTGTTTCCCGCATTCTCGTCAATGTGTTGAAATGCTTGTAGAAAGGTAGTCTCGATCGAACTACAGGGAAAAGTTTTTGTCCCCATAATTCAATGAATTTAGAAGAAGAATTTGAATTTAAAAGAAGAAACCACCCTCCGCTCTAAAGACCTTCTACATGGACAGCATTTGAAAAATCTACCACAGAATCCTTGTGCTCGGGCTGAACTCACCACGGTACTCGACTGATCGTGTACCATTAGGACTATTTTGAGGAGCTGACTGGGAGGGCTCTGCAGAGCAGTGTTTAAGCCGTAGGAATCTTTATAACAACGAACCGATTCAGGAAATTTAGTAAGAGCTTCAGGCTGAAGCTCTTACGGTAGGCCTCCTTGAGCTTGACGACGGTGACAGATGACGTCATATTCTGAAGACGGTGAGGGCAGTGAAGGAGGGCCTGCCTACTTATATATGAGGGGCATTTGGTGAATGACTTCCTGTAAGACTTCCGCCAACGAGAACCACATTTGCGACGAAAACTGAAGGACGATAAGTGCAGAGGAATTATTTTTGCCTCTTTCCATACCACCCTTATCTATACAATTGCGACCGCTACGACGCATTCTGCTTCAATTTTTCGTTCTGTATGATTAGGCACCTTAGGCCGGAGCAAGCTGTGACCGCTTTTTTCGTAGTATCCATACCCTCCACGTCTAACAGGGTGCGTTTTTGGAAATGCAGGTGGATTCAGGGGGTGGACTCCCTGTTTCTGCAGTGCTGTGTGATTCATACCAGCTGTCTCCACTCAGGCGCATCCATGCATGCTTGCGTGTGTGGTGCGCTCTGTGTGTGTGCGGTTGGTATCCTGCATGTCGGCACAGCCAAAAGCTTGCATTCAAGTGACTGGGAAGTACATGGGAGGCGATTCGGGGCCGCCTCCAAAAATAAGCCCCTTGTTCCGCTCCAGGATAGCGTGGCTAACTACCTGGAGGTCTATCCTAGCCCACACGACAGAGCCTGGCAAGCTACTCGTGTGCCTTCAATATGCCGAAAACAGCAATATGGATGGGCCTCATTCCCCTGAACCTGAGGGAGCCCCCAATACGGCAGCGCGGATAGGAGTGGATAGGACCGCTCGGGAGAGGCTGCTAGATATGGGTGTTCTCTTCAACACGCACTTGGCCATAAACATCGATTCGTACGAAAGCCTTACAACCCGAATCGGACGTTTGAGATTGAGAAGATGTGGTTTAACTCCTGCTTTGAAAATCTTCGTAGCAGCAATGAGCAGGGTGAAGGGACTATCGGAGTTTATCATGTCGACCAACACCATCCATGGTAACTCGCAGTTCCAGAAGCCCTCTCACCTTCGTTGGACTTGGGAGTCACCTGATGGACAGTTCCATAACGAGATAGACCACATCATCTTCAATCGAAGGTTTTGCCTGACCGACGTCGCTGTTGTTCCGAAGTTCTACACGGGATCGGACCATCGTCTCCTCCGCGCAAGATTCCACTTCTCGATGATGCGTGTGTTAGAGCAAGTTCAGGAAGCGAAGCCCCAGGACAGTCATCAACTGAGATCACTTCACTTCTCTTGTCAGCTTATGGGAGGATTCCGTTATCGAGAACATCGACGAGGAATATCATCGGCTCGTTGAACACCTTCACGAGAGTGGCAGGAAGGCAGAGAGTTTGCAAGTCACCAAAGGACGTCTGTCTACGGAAACTCTCGAGCTGATACGCCAACGTGGAGCCGCACGAGCTGAAGGGGATCACCGACTTAGGTCGGGAAATTCAATATGATGAACGATCTAGCTCCAGAGCTGAGCAGGAGGAAACGAGCGGCTTGGGGAGCGTTTAAGAACATCGAGGGAGTAGTGAAGAAGACGAAGAACATCCGGCTCCGTGCCCACCTCTTCGATTCCGCAGTCCTACGCCTCAGAGACTTGGACTCTGTGCAGGCAGGACGAGCATGCGGTCAGCGTTATCCAATGCGCTGTCGAGAGGACGACGCTAGAAGCAATCCTATACACGTAATTGAGGAGGAAAATCCGGGATTCGTGATTTCGCAAGAGAGATGATGCAGGACGCTGAGCTTCCCCCAAGGATCGAGGATAAGGGGGGCGGGCGTACATGGTCAGCGATTCTTGCGATAGCCGTGAACCCAGGAGCGGTTACGTCGATACTTGCTGGCGCTCGAGCAAATTGACGATTAGCGGGACGGGAGGTGACAGATCTAGTGCTCTGCCCCTACAACCCCTTCCACCTCGATACGGAAATGTTTTTGCTACCCGCAAGTAGGTCTTGGGTCCGCTGCTACTGAAACACAATCTTGTGTCCTCACTTGGACAGGCCCATCCCCAACCGAAGTTCGTTGGGGTCTTCCTTGCTGTCGGACATAGAATTCCTAGTTTGGCTGCGCACGCATTCGCGTGCATCACACGGGGGTTCAAACAGGATGATCACTGTTCTTTTCTAGATTTTAGTTTTCTTTCGGTACATCCCATTTACACCGACTATTAGGTCAAACTATATTTTCTATTATAACTATAAGGCGGTTTCGGAGAGGGTCTTTCTTCCAAGACAAGGTTTTTTTTCAGAAGTGGAAATAAAGGATAAAGGATAAAGCATTTGCCGTTGATCAATCCCGTTTTGGGATGCGGCACGCATTCTACTTCCATTTGTACATTCGCAGTGGCATTTGAATGCGATGTGGCCTATACAATGACTTGCGGGGGCCAGCCGATGTTCAAGTCAGTGTTTTTTCCTCCCAGAAGTCTGGTACCAATTAACCGACCCCGGAGGGATGGAAGGCTTGGTTGGCCCGGGCGACTCACGACCCAGGATTTTGATCCCCGGACCGCTCGCGTGGTGAGCGCGCCACTTGTCACTGCACCACTTCCGCCCAGGGCGGAAGTGCGCAAGATTAATGTCTGCGCCAATGTTTCTCTCTATTACTGCAGAGCTGCTGAGTGAGATTCCAAGGTACGGCTGCTTTGGAGACACTCCTCTTTCGAAATTCATGGGTAACCCCGCCCACTTTTGCGCATGTCCTGCCCACTGAGACTTCATTTCTTTCGCTGACCTCTATACTTTTTTCCTGGTGTCCAAGACTTCTTGGAACCGAGTAATAATGTTTCGTGCATAACTCCGCCCACTTTTGTGCAAGCTTAGCCCACCATTAGCATGTAACCCCTTTCCCTCCGGCAACCCTTATCCACATTTCTCCCGGTCGTCTAGCCGTTTTGGAACCGAGTTATGAGAGTGGTGGCAAACTCCGCCCACTTCGGGGAGTGCCGCGCCCAGCGTTCACATTCAACCTCTACTTTCCTCCTCACCTCTACACGGTATTTTTTTTAGATTGTTAGATTCTCTTAATATCTTTGGGGCCGATTTGAGGTCTTGTAGAAGACGGTTAGTTGGTTATGCATTTAATGGGGCAAACCCCGCCACCCGTTGGGACATGTAGTCCACTCAATGCCATTGGTAACTCTGTGTCCCTCCGACAACCCTTATCCACTTTTTTACCGGGCGCTGGGGATTCTAGGAACCGAGTTATGAGAGTGGTGGCAAACTCCGCCCACTTCGTTATGTGCCTGCCTAGCGTCCACATTCAAGCTCCACTCCTCCTCTCA